ACTTAGAGGCAGGGGCGGATTGAGCCCCATTGGTGCCCTAAGCACTGAATACTTTGGTGCCCCATCATGTGTAATTTAATTATAAAAACAATAAACCACACAAGTGTAGTATCCATTAAAAATAATCACAACCAACAGTAAATAAAACAACTTTTACGGACATTTTTTGGTTTTTTAACTGTTATATATAGCCGATATATATATCGGACATTTACTGCCGATATTATATATATGCAAACACGCAATGTCGGGCCGATATATCGGTTGAGCTCTAATTCTGAGGGAGTGTGACAATAAAGATTCATGCCTCCAGTCTCAACGTGAATCGAAATACCAAAGGGTACATGTCACAACTGTAGTTTACCTCGGAGTGGTTCAAGGTTGCTAGGTTGAAGGACCGCAAAAACTTTTGAGGAGGTCTCGCGGGCCGCAAGTCGGAGAAAACCCAAAAGTGATCAAAATATCGCGAGTTTACTTACTTTAAATTTAATAAACAACGAGAGTTTACCGTTCTAATCAGACTATTATTATGTTGCATGGGTGGCGTTCGTTTAAAGAAGATATATAAAGCCTTCAGTTATTTTAAAGTTAATTCCCGAGAATTACCGTTGTATTTTGCGCATCTCGCGTTCAATGTCACTACAAATTATATTCCTTCGTGACAGATATTACTTGAAATCAAACCATGTATGATGGGCAAGGAAATACGTTTCCGCCGTGTTTTCTTATGTCACCTTTATTGCGACTCTCATTTTATTACGAATTGTTATATTGGGTATAATTTAAAAACTTGCAGCGTGAGCAAGCTCAGTGACATCGTCAAATACCAACCAAGTCCGTCTAAGTTGGTATTTTGGGACCTAGCTAAAAAAAACTGGATTACGCGGCGTTAAGTCGCCTCTGCGTTTCGTCACTACGGCCACATGGCCGACGCTTGTAAACAGAGGAGTGTTTTTACTAAAATAAAGGCACAAAGCGTTAGAAAAAGGGTTTGAATTCCGGGATCCCAACCCCAGTTGAAATATCTAAAAAAAAAAACTCAAAAACGTTCCTCCATTAGATACAAATATACGCTAAAATTGTTCTGTGAGCCGCACGGAATGTATCAGCATGACAGAGTTTGGACCACCCTGGTCTACCTTATCAAAAAACTCCCGACTTTGCTGACCACTAGATCGTTGAAATGCGATCGTGGAACCGTCACATAGTGTAAATAGTTATTGTTCCAATTGTTGAAGAGAATAGAAATTTTTTTAAAACAGAAATGCAGCAAAAAGGTAAATACTAGAAAGAAAAAACAACAACAATTTAGAAAAACGACTCATAGGCCCATTTCGTGTCCAATGAATAAGTTTCAGTGTTTATTTTGAATAAAGAAGGTTAATATGATACTTGAAGACAAAAAATAAGCGAACTTGTTGAAGTTTGAGACGTCTGATTCTGCTCTAAAATTTCTGTGGTGCCCCTCTTTGCTTGATGCCCTAAGCACGTGCTTATATTGTTTAATGGTTAATCCGGCGCTGCTTAGAGGTGATGTCACATTCAAATCAATTAAAGTATTCCTGGCGCCAAGAAGATATTCCGCTGTTGGATATGATGTTGGTGTATACACTCCGATTCATCGAATACCTGAAAAATTTGAGACTATGTTATAAATAGGGATGGCGGAATCGAATACGGAATCGATTCCGGAATCGATTCTTCGTGGAATCGACTAGAATCGATTCCGACGCACTGGAATCGATTCTTAAAAATTTGGTTGTCAACAAGGTATATAACGTTTTGTGACAAGTCCGTCGCCGTATAAACTTGCTAAGTGAGTTTCTACGACGCCGCAAATATCGTTATTTTTTTACACGCTTATCGCACTCGCTCGTTTGCGCGCGTCATGTGAGCACGCGGCACTTTCGGACCATTCCGTATCTTGTTTCTCTTGATTAGGGATGGCGGAATCGAGTCCGGATTCGATTACAGAATCGATTCTTCGCGGAATCGACTAGAATCGATTCCGATGCACCGGAATCGATTCTCGAGTTTGAAACTTGGATTGCAAACAATGTGTAACGTTTTGTGGCAATTTCTTCACATATATATATATATATATATATATATAAACTGCTTCACTGCCATGTTGAGTTGCTACGACACCGCAAACTTCACTTTATATAATATATATATTATAAATATTGCTAGTAGGCTTTAACGTTTATTTATTTTAAAAATCTCTGTGGGTTCTGAGGGATTCGTTTTTTTTTGTGCTGTTTTGTCTCCTGTGGCAGATTGGATACCCATACTACTTAGTTTCGGCCTTCTTGTCCGTCCAGAATTTGAACATCGCTGTCTTGCTTGATTTCATATGGTATTGCTTGGGTGGGTATATTTTTTCGGTAATATGTCGAGGAATCGAGATTCGGAATCGAGAATCGGAATCGAAAATTTAGGAATCGGATAAGAATCGAATACTTGTAAGTACTCATACTTGGCATCCTTAGTTATAAATAGCGTTGTATTTTGAAAATAATTATCATAGTGAATATTGGTATGAACTAATCACGGCACCACGGTTTCAGTTTTGGGACCTAATTTTACACACTTTGGAGTTATTTCATTTTATATGATTATGGCATCATTTATTCTGTGTTTGTCTGATCGTGCTGAAAAAGTACTATAGTTTTATTTTATTTAATGCGCTTGGTGTTTCCTGAAGCGGTTACTTAATAAATAAGATCTTCGCCCAAGTTCCTAAACTTGCGGTTGTATGAAAAGTAAAAGTTAATTTGTTTCCTGCAATTGTTACACTTCAAAAATTACCTTCAAATTTATTACAATCAACAGTCAGGATAAATGTTGAATAATCTGATGCAAACACGATCTTCGTGTTGTCAGTTTCATAGGACTCAGCTGTGATAATATACATATAAATTAAACAAATGTTTGTGTTACAAGTGGTCACAGTCGAAAATAATTGTTTACTTACAGTATACAAATATTGAAGGGATTAAAATTAGATCATAAACAAGAGAGCTATGCTCAAATATATGGACACGTCTCGCTGAAATTCACTGTGGTACGGTACGGTAACTTAGCAGCAGGCTTGACCACGGAACCTGTTCGCTGATCAAGTGATCATTATATGTTTGCGGAATCGCCACATGGTGACAAATTTTTGATGACGTCATAGCTCAAAATAAAAACGAATAAAGCTCACAGGAATATTTGAAATTAATAAAAGTAATAGCCTTCTAGAAAAAAATTCCATCTTTACCTACTGAAAATTTCAAAGCAATTGGTCCAGTAATCGAAGAGAAAAGCGACTTTTTAAAAACGTGTCAAAGAACAAGAAGAGGAACAATAAGAACAACGACTATATTGCGGAAACTGGCTGTAATCCAATCACAATGTTTGGTTGCATTAAAATATACTCCTGTTATAGCGTTACAATCCCAGTGTAACGAAATGTCTTCACATAATATACATTAGAGAAAATGTCTACATTACAAATGCAGAATGTTTCCTCATGACAGCGAAATTACAGCACAATTATTCAAACAGTCGTGGGAAGAATATTTTCTTGACAAACCATCATTTGCAACGTCTAATATGAAAACAACCAACAGCTGTTTTACCGACTCCTCTGTTGCAAAAAAAGTCAATTTCGAGATTCCTCCCTGGATAATGAAGCCACCGCAAATTGATACATCGTTAACGATTTATGGTACAACATGTTCACCAACAATATTTCAAACGTCATTTCTTGACCATATACACGAAAACTATCGAGACTATGTACAAGTATTTACTGACGGTTCGAAAAATCCATTTGGCGTAGGTGCTGCATATTATGTGCCTCAAGCGAAAGTAGAGAAAAAAATGAAATTAAATCATGAAAAGTATTAATATTCCGTGGCGAAAAAAGTTGGGAAGCGATGGTGGGAGGAAGCCGTCAGCAATCCTCTGGTACTAATTTATCCCCTACTGAATTTGAACCTGCGGATCCAAGCGGGGTAATCTTAGGCTAGAAATCAAGCGTATTCCTAAGGCTTAGCACGATGCGCCACTCAACGCGAACGTAGTCAGCTGCAATATACTGGCTGACATAGATACTAAACACATGGTGACCTCGAACCCATGTACATTTGAACCCATGCGTATATCCACGGGTTCAATCTATATGCGGGTGCTAAAACCCATGGGTTAGGGTTAGTATGGGTTTAACTATCCGTGAAACAAAAAAAGTTCCATAGGTGCAATAGCATACAGGTGCAATTGTTATGGGTTCAAATGTACGTGGGTTCAAATGTAATGGAACCTAAACACATTAATATACGTGTATACCCTTACGCTGGATGACGGAATTGTTCAGGATTGTTCTTTATGGTCGTACATACCTGTATCATGATCGCTTTTTATCAAGAGGTCTACTGTAGAGACAGACTCAAAGTGCTTCATACAGAACTAGGGTCTCCGCGAACTATTCGTTTACTCAAAATGACAATAATAAAAATCAAATAGCAGCAAATACATCTGAGTTATTAAATAGAGTAATTTCAAATCACTCATTAATATCAATCGGTAAGTAACAATTTGTCTTTGTTATGTTCTTATTGTGGGGCTTCGTAAATAACAGCCTACCTCTTAACGAGCTTTATAACACCAAATATTTGAATGGTCTCGAATAGTTGATCTATACACTTTTAGATGTTGTCGTCGGTATGCTCTTATCTTGAGCAGTCAATTCACATGGTACCGTGATTAATGCTGTTGCTGATGTTATGTCTCTGTCGTTTGGTTTGAGCGGAGAAATTACT